CAATAAATATTTATCAAGCCCCATCATGGTATTTAGAAAAGCTTCTCCATGCATTCTTGTTGAACAGTGAATGTGTAATCACCATCCTAATAGCAGAAACACAGGGTAAATAAGATATGCAAGGTCCTTCCTCTAGTGGAACTTTCATTCAGGGGTATATATGTGTGTGTATTTGTTGTGTAATGTGGACATGATAAACAAGTAAATACTTAAACGTATTTCAGATATCTTTAAGATATCTTCCATCATCATTTATATCTTTTCTCTAAAATGTTTGAAATTTCATTTATTTATAGGAACTCTCTACAAATTAACACCACTTACTGCTTTTCTTAAATACTACTGAAAGTATTTACCCCATTTTTTGCATGTCTTTAGGGTTGTGTATGTGGTGTGGTTATATGATCAAATATGCTATGTTTTATTTTTATGAATTTTGCCTTTAATGTAGTGTTTCAGATGCCATTCTTCATCTCAAAATAGCTTTTAATGATTTTATTTTCTTCAAATAATTTTATAATTTGAGAAAAGAATATTTATAACCTTACTGAATCTGAATTTATTTTACTGTGTGTGATGTTGTAATATCATCAACAGATACAAATTCATTTTAGATACCTGATAATTTAGTTCCTCACCAAATAAGTATGCATTATTTCATGATTTCATGGACATAACACCAAAAGAACAGGCAAAAATATACAATTTGCAAAATATATAAGGAAATCCTACAACTCAAGAGCAAAACAACAACAAGAAAAAACCATAATAACCCAATTAAAAAATTAGCCAGAGACTTGAATGGACATTTCTCCAAAGAAGATATGGAAATAGCCAATAGGTATAGGAAATAATACTCAATATTATTAATCATCAGGGAAATGTAAATAAAAACATCTCACACCTCTTAAAGTGGCTATGATTTAAAAAAAAAAGAATAAGTGTTGGCAAGGTTGTGGATAAATTGAAAATCTTCTGAGTATTTATCCACATTAGATATGTAAATTCAATCTCAATAAAACTATGATAAAAAATTTGTATGATTTATAGTGATGTTTCTTCCTTCTTGGTATTGTTAGCTTCATTTTCTCTTTGTTCTTGTTTAGTATTGCTCAGTGGTTATCAATTTTCAAGGAGCCATGTTTGAAAGGTTTTCCTCTGTTTTCTCTATCATGCTTACTTTGGGCTTCCTTGGTGGCTCAGCAGTAAAGAATCTGCTTGCAGTGCAGGAAACCACCTGCAATGCAGGAGACACAGGTTCAATCTCTGGGTTAAGAAGATCCCATGGAGAAGGAAACAGCAACCCACTCCACTATTCTTGCCTAAAATCCCATGGACAGAGGAGCCTGGTAGGCCACAGTCCATGGAGTCGCAATAGTAGGACTTGACTTACGGACTAAACCAGCATCACTACCACCATCCTTACCTTCTTTTTTAAAATTAATTTTTGTTCCTTTCTTTGTTAATCCCAACTTCTGTATCCTTTAGGCTTTTTTCTCTTCTCCTAGTTTCTTAAATAGAAGCTTACATATTTTTTAATTTTCACCCTTTCTTCTTTTCTAAATCAAAAGTATAAATTTCCCTTAAGCACTACTTTAGTTGCATTAGAAGAATTTAGTTATATCATATCTTTGTTATCACTACTTCACAATATTTTCTAATGTTTAAATTTATTTCCAGACCCAGGCACTGTTTTGGAAGGGTGTTGCTTAATTTCTCCAAATAGGGATGGCTAACCGTATTTTCTTATTCTTAACTTAATTACACTGTGGTCAGAGTAAATACTCTGTATAAATTCAATTATCTGAAGGTTTTTGTCCTACCATATGGTCGTTTTTGATAAATGTTCCTAGTGCATTTACAATAATGTGAATTCTTTCATTATTGAGTGCATTGCTCTATATATGTTATTTAGCTAAATGTGTTGATTGTGGTGTTTTACATCTACTATAGTCTTCCTTTTTTGTATGCCTGGTCTGCATGGTATTGAAAAAGATTTGTTAAAGTTCCGCCAGGTTGATTGTTATTTTGTCTATTTTTTCTTTTCATTCTGTCGAGTATTATTCTGTATTTCAAAGCTATGTTTCAGTATATTCCCTGGATTCTGATATCTGTAATATCTTTATTATGGGCTTATCACTGTATAATCATGAAAATATCCTCTTTAACTAAATTAGCACATCTTCCCTTAAAGTCTCCTTTCTGTGACCTTGCTATAGCTACTGCAGCTTTCCTATAGTTAGTATTCACATGTGTGCATGCTTACTAAGTCGTGTCAGTCATGTCCAACTCTTTGCTATGGACTGTAGCCAGCCAGGCTCCTCTGTCCATGGGATTCTCCAGGCAGGAATACTGAAGTGGATTGCCATGCACTCCTCCAGGAGATCTTCCTGACCTAGGGATTTAACTCACATCTCTTATGTCTCCTATATTGGCAGGCAGGTTCTTTACCACTAGCACCATATTCACATAATATATACATTAATACCTAGTATTCACATAATATATACATTTTCCCCCATCATTTGACTTTTGACCTTTCTTTGCTCTCATATACAATGTGAGTATCTCGCAGATAGCATTTACATGAATTTTGTTGGTTTATCAGTTAGTATAGGGGCTTTAATTTGAAGTATCTAATCCATTGTAATTAGATTGCAAATCCAATTACTGATATTGTTGGGTTAGTATCTACCATTTCCTTTTAATTGACCCATGTGCTTCATGTTCCTTTTTCTCTCCTTTTTTTCTTTCTTTGGTATTAAACGAATTTATTCCAGATTTTCCTTTGACTTTCTGCAGCTTCACTAGATGTGGAGGTTTTCATAGCCTTCCATCCAGTTTTTAAAAATTCTTAATTATTATATTTTCAAATATTCCTTCTGCTGCACTTTGTTTCTCTTCTCCTCCTATTCCCCCTCTTTCTCCTTCTCCTCCTTCTCTTTTTCCTCCTTCTCATCTCTCAACTCTAGGACTCCTCTAAGACACTAATTCTGTGTTCAGTTCTGTCTAAAATTCTTTCAGTTCTTAGTTCTAGATATTTTATTTTCAGTTGGTAACTGTTCTTTTGATTTTCTTATCATTACAATTATTTGTTAATTTTTTTCATTTTTCACCTATTGATTCTTTCCTTTCCCCCTAAACACATTGTTCATAGTTAAAATCCTTATCTGCTAACTCCAGCATATCTAGCATGTGTGTCTCTGTCTTCTCTTACCTTCCTTTTTTCAATTTTTAAATTTGCCATGTCATCCATCTCTTTACTTTTTAACTGAATGAGAGAAATGATGCATAAGAAAATAAGATATCCCAGATACATTTTCTAACACCTGAAAGGATTCATATTCTGTTTTGTTAAGCAAGTGGGAGAAGGGGTTCAGACCACCCAGCTGTCTAGATACCAGCTAGAATTGAGCTGTAACAAGCCTTGGTTGCAGTGCTGGTAGCACTCAGTCTACCTCTGATTTCTCCGCCCCTGTGTTATGGGCTTTCAGAGTTTATAACTGAAAACCTGAATGTTTTGGTAGCTCAGCAGTCAGGAGGATGAGGGAATATCCACTCTGTTTCCAAGGTGTTTGACACAGTTCTTTGGCCTCCTGCCCTTGACAGCGTGTTTACTGGGCAGATATTTGAAGAGAAAATCTGCTATATGGGAGAGGCTCTCAAGTCTCCAGTTTTGTCACTGCAGCACCAGGTAACCCCAAAATCATGCAGGCTTCTCGGTCCTACTTTGATCCATTAACCCAGGCAGCAAATTGGGAAGTTCCCATAGAGAAAGAGAAGCTTCAGATCCTTGGCTAACAATGAAATGATGTCCACTCTTTAGAATTTTAGTTCATATTGTGTCCACAAATGTCTAATATCTTCATTTTTTATCTAGCATTTTATAGTATTTAAAGTTGTATCCAGCAGACCATTGGTCTGCTGTGAACTTCTCCATTGGAACCAGTCTTCATGAAAGTACAAAATTCTAGATTTTATTCTCTACTTTATTATTCACTTAAAATGTAACACTGAATAGACATCATTTAAACTTTCTTTACATTGCTTTTAATGTATTAAAGAAGAACAACACAGTGAGTCTGTCAATATCGTTCAAGTACTTTCAGAGTAAGAATTTAACCTATTTCTGCTCTATGGTAAAGTTAGAAATGCATAATATTTTCCCTCAAAGAACAAATAACCCCCAACTTTGAATCATAGCGATTCCTGACACAAAGTGCAAGAAAAAATAATATTTACTTGAGAGAAGAAGCAGCATTCCAAGATTCCCAGTGGAATCTGGTCAATGTCAATCAATATCACCTGACACATTTCTCATGCAAGGTGGCCCAATCCACTCAAAGAGATCACTTTTTTTTTTTTAAAAAAAACAAAGTATCCAGATCTGGAGTCTGAAACTTAGAACCATCAGTGAAATATTCTGGGGCAAACCAAGACATCTCAAGGTCCATTTGTTTTTCAGTTCCGCATGACTGTACCAAGGAGAATGATTCTAAAAGTAGAGGGTTCATGGCTGCTACCTGAGGCTTCTGATGAGGCCAGTTCCTGACTCCATTTCCTTTCATCTAATCCCTTTAACTCTCAGGTCAAGGGCACTAACATGTGTGTGGTTTATAAGGAATCCGTCCAGCAGCCAGCTCATTCCTGTGACTCTGAACTCATTCAACTGCTCTGGGTAGAGATACTAATATTTCCTGTAAATATTTCTCAGATGCTGTGCAAAACTCTACAAATCAGAGTTAACACTTCTGTCTCACCCTACTCAGTAGTGTAATATTTCCTGTTTTTGCCCATTTTCAATGTTATTATTCTCTTATCACTGCTGTAAGAAACCAGACTCAGGTGCTGCCCCAGTGCAATGACTCCCTATCAGAACCAGGGGAATCTGAAACCTCAGAGGAGAGCGCCCCCTACTGCTCAGGTGGAGGTCCCACAGGACAGAAGACCCTTCTCATTCCCCTTGTCACTGCCCCATTGTCCCATTTCTCTCTCCTCAGACAGCAGACAGCTCCGCCTGGTGGACGGGGGCGGTCCCTGCGCCGGGAGAGTGGAGATCCTTGACCAGGGCTCCTGGGGCACCATCTGTGATAACGGCTGGGACCTGGACGATGCCCGTGTGGTGTGCAAGCAGCTGGGCTGTGGAGAAGCCGTCAATGCCACGGGGTCTGCTCACTTTGGGGAAGGGCCAGGGCCCATCTGGCTGGAAACATTGGACTGCACAGGAAAGGAATCCCACCTGTGGAAGTGCCCTTCCCGGGGCTGGGGAGTGCAGAACTGCAGTCATGAGAAGGATGCAGGAGTCGTCTGCTCAGGTATGGTCAGTGTATTGCCCTGTGGTGGCAGAATGAAAAGTTCTGTGGAAGCTGGTGTCTGATCACTGGGGCAATAGGATATAGATGGGCTAGAGAGGACTGAGACAGACCCATCCTCCCTGAATGCACAAAATTTCTGTGGGTGAGGTGCTTCATTTACTTTCCTGCTGTACGTCTCTGCTATTTCTTCTCAGTGATCTCATCTTACATAGTAGATTAAACCTTTCCAATGAAAATTGATCTTCATAATGAAGATGAAGATCAATCACATGAGATATTTTCAAATCACCACACAAATCCCTTTGCACAGTGAGCCTATGGGAGGGGAGGGCTAGAATGAGGATACACCTTTGTGGATGGAGTTGTTTCTGTACATACAGTGTGAGACATTATTTTATACTAGGTTAGTAGGAGGGGAGACACAGAGGATGCCACTAAACAAATCAGACAGGAATTGATGGGTCTGTGCCAAACTGCAAGTCTCTTTTGAAATTTTAGATGTAAATATTTGTAGGCCTTTGCAGGTAAGACCAGAGAAGTTTGGATGAAGTGCTCTGAGTCATAGGTTCTTCTCCCATTGTTACTATAAGAGATTCTCTGCCCATTTTTTCTTTTAAGACATCTGTATAGGCCAAAACTTTGGAAGAACCCTTAGCCATACACTGACAAGACAAAAGTGGAAGCAATACAGTTTCTGTGTTTTATGGTAAGAAATTATATAGTTGATGACTTCATTGATTTAAGAGAATTGAATTGGGGGTTTTATTTCATATGAATAGGAGTAAGGGGACAGATGTAATTTTTGAAGAAGGTAGAAGAGAGTTATAGCAGCTGGGAGGGAGAGAGATTGTAATAGGAGCTGAAAAAGGCACATTCTGGGTGTTCTGAGTAGCACAGATGGTCCAGGTGTATGTGGTGTGGAGGATGCTGTGTGTGCCTAAGGATGCAGGATGTCTGTACAGCAAGGGACCAGAGAAGGATATATTTTTATTATATTTAATATCCTTATACACTGACATCAGCCTTCTATTCCACAAACTTTCTTACAATTTTCACACACATAATCTTCCACATAAATTTTAAAATCAAATAGAAAACAAAAAAGAAGTCATAATTTGTCTCAGAAGAGTCTATCCTTATGCGTATAAGACTTTATTGATTATTCAGTGTATATTCAAGCATTTAACATGTATCAGGGTACATAAAACAGCATATAACAAAGATTTCTTTCATGTTCTGCCTAATCTGTAATCTTATGGGGTTAATATAACAACTAAAAACTGTTGAGTAAAAATGCTTTAATTAGAATGTGTCGCCTATGAGCAAACTCCCAACCAGACCAGACTGGGAGCACTAACCTATGTCTCTCTGGGGAGATGAAAGTGATAAATAATAAAATGCAAGCAGACCATCTTCTGTGTCGCCATTCACTCTTGTATAAGTGGTCAAGCTGATCCTTCAAGTCTTTAATTTCTTTTAGGTCTTTTCTGTTCTTTCCTGTTTTCTGTAGTAGATTTTTATTTTGTTAGAATATTCTTTCTGAACCTTCAAAGTTCACATATTCATATAATCAGAATCCTTTACCAGAAAGAACTTCACCATGTACATTAATTATCATGAACATACTTCGAAACCAGACAAGTGTGTTAAAGAAAGTGTTTTATGTTGTGGGTTTCTTTTTTATTTGGATTACCTTCCTCTACCCAAGATATGGTCCCTGAAGTTCAAACCATGATCATGAGTCTTTTCTTTGGTCTCTCTCTGTTTCATACCCCACCCACTCCCCATTTAACCTACCATACACCCTACCTCACTCCACTCCTACAGAAGTTCTTCCCTTTCAGAATTTCCTTTCCACCCATTTGTGGTTCTTAAGATTGTTTTCTCTTGTCTGCAGTGGGAGAAATGGGAAAGATAGCAGGATGAAGCAGTTGATGGGAGGAGCACAGGGGATAAAATGCCAAATCTTCTATCTTTCATCCATATTGAGGCTTTTGCAATTTGAAAATTTATAAATCATGTATGGCTTATTTGCTCCCTGGGCTTCCCTCATAGCTCAGTTGGCAAAGAATCCACCTCCAATGCAGGAGACCCCAGTTAGAACCCTGGATTGGGAAGATCCACTGGAGAAGGATAGGCTACCCACTCTAGTATTCCTGGGCTTCCCTTGTAGCTCAGTTGGCAAAGAATCTGCCTGCAATGTGCAAGACCTGGGTTTGATCTCTGGGTTTGGGAAGAGCCCCTGGAGAAGGGAAAGGCTACCCACTCCAGTATTCTGGCCTGGAGAATGCCATGGACTATATAGTCCATGGGGTCACAGAGAGTCAGACATGACTGAGTGACTTTAACTTCACTTCACTTCACTTCACTTCACTTCACTTCACTATTTGCCCTCTGTTCTCTTCCTCTTACTCTCTTTCTTTACAGCATAGAAGCTATTTCTCAAGAATCCAAGTAGGAAAGGAACAAACAGTTAGCATATAGACAGGATTAAAATACTTTAACTTATCTTCACTCTTTAGCATTTCCTACAGTTCACATGTCTAGTATGAAGTAATAAAAAACCTCAGCTGTTGCATGCTCCCACTGAGAACTCACTCTGTCCCAGGTTCTTTGATAAATTCTAAGCTTTCAAGAAAGATGGCTATGACCAGCCCCTTCTCCTATGACTCTGAGCTTTCTTCCTATCCAAACTGATCTCTGGACAACTTTTCAAAATCAGGTCACCTAAGAAATTCTTGGAATTTTTCATTATGAAAAATTATGAGAAACATATGTGAAATCATAACAGTAAACTTGTTATAATGTCTAGCTTTCCTCCTGTTACCCAGAAGTCTGTCCACTGTTAGCAAGCACTAGCAGATTCAGCCTGCGAGATTTTCCTTATCTTCAGTGACTTGAGTATCAGTTCCTGAGAGAAAACTGGCCAGTATCCTGGCCCCAGAAATCTCAGGATGGCCTTCTAACCGTGTGTGTCTCTTAGTCCTCTAACCTCTTGAGGCCCATGGATCTACTTCACTGTGGGTTAGTTCAGCTCTGAACCTGAGTCTGGTGCCTACTACAGAGCAGTATCCTTGGGCTCTGTAGTTTCCAGGCCTCTAGATGAGGAATTCACATTCCTAATTAACCTCAAAATGCATGTTTTTGGAAATCAGCTATTTCAAACTGACCCTGAAAATCCTTCAGGGTTTCTTTTCAGAAATCTGCTCATGAAAATACTTGCTCATGAAATTCTGAGAATAACTGTCCAATTTTCTCTCCAGGCGCCACTCCTGGGAAAGAAAAAAATTCACATTATTGCCCGTGACATTGTTTCCAATTGCCAAACCAGGACTATGGGCACTCACTGGATTTCTTGTTGTTGTTTTCTTAGGATTTGTGCGTCTGGTTGGAGACAATGGACCCTGCTCAGGAAGAGTAGAAGTACATCCTGGAGAAGGCTGGATCTCAGTGTCTGATGGAAACTTCACACTCCCCACTGCCCAGGTCATCTGCGCCGAGCTGGGTTGTGGTGAGGCTGTGTCTGTCCTGGGACACGAGCTCTTCAGAGAGTCTGATGGCCGGGTCTGGGCTGAAGAGTTCAGGTGTGAGGGGGCGGAACCTAAGCTCCAGTTCTGCCCCAGAGTGCCCTGTCCAGGGGGCACGTGTCACCACAGTGGAGCTGCTCAGCTTGTCTGTTCAGGTGAGATGCAGGTCAGGACTAACCTCCCACACACTCTGTTCAGGTGAGAGATCATGAGATTTTGCTGAAACTCTGTCTTCTTCTACCAGTGTACTCAGAAGTCCGGCTCATGACAAACGGCTCCTCTCAGTGTGAGGGGCAGGTGGAGGTGAACATTTCTGGACGATGGAGAGCGCTCTGTGCCTCCCACTGGAGTCTGGCCAATGCCAATGTTGTCTGTCGTCAGCTCAGCTGTGGAGTCGCCATCTCCACTCCCAGAGGACCACACTTGGTAGAAGAAGGTGATCAGATCTCAACAGTCCGATTTCACTGCTCGGGGGCTGAGTCCTTCCTGTGGAGTTGTCCTGTGACTGCCTTGGGTGGGCCTGACTGTTCCCATGGCAACACAGCCTATGTGATCTGCTCAGGTAAGAGAGGGGGACAAGGGCTACTGCTACTTAGGATGCTCCCGGAGTGAAATGTCCTAAGAGCAGGGAGTAAGGGAAAACTGGCTTTGGAAGATATTTCATGATGAAATATGGTGCTTCTTATTGTTCACTCATTTTTCAGATTAGGGCAATAAGTGTGAAGGGGAATAATATGTTTTAAAGCAACATTGTTATTGACATATGATCATAGAAAACAGTGTATAAGCAATAAGTGTAGACTTCAGTCATGTACCCAGAGCAGCAAAAAGAACACCCCCAGCATCAAGAGTCACTGTTTCCTCCAATAACTGTGGCCTCCTTCCTCTCCAGGGAAAACTGCTTATCTAACTTCTACTACCATAGAGTGTTTTATCGGTTTTTGAACTTTATATAAAATCATTCAGTGTGCTTTCTTTTGTGTGTGACTTCTTCGATTCAACATTATATTTAGGATTCACTCATGATATTGTTTATAGCAGTACTTTATTCATTTTTATTACTGTAGAATATTGCTTTCATTGATAACATGGCCATTGATCCATTCAACTGATATTAGAGATTTGAGTTGTTTCCTGCTCTTGACTATTATAAATATGATGCTAGAATGTAGCATGACAATGACTTTGGGTGCAAATACATGTTACTTATCTTCTGTGTTTAACATTTGCTCTTTTCTTTTTGTTTTCTTAATGTTACAGTATCCTTTGATGAAGCAAGTTTTTAATTTGAAGGAAATATTAATATAACTTACCAACTTTTCCCTCTATATTTAATACTTCTTATATCCCTTTAAAAAGAACTTTCCCTACTCCAACATCATGAAAATATTCTCTTAGAGTATCTTACAAAAGTTTCTTTTTCTTTTGCATGTAATTGTACATTCCTTCTGGGATTGATATCTGTGTAAGATAAGTCACGTTTCACATGGACATCCAATTTGCTCAGAATCTTTTTCTGAAAAGACTTTTTCCCCACTGCAGTGCTACCTTTATCTTAAGCAGAAGAGCACATATGTTTGAGTCCTTCTTAAGACTCTGTATTCTGTTCCACTGTATCATTTGTCTATCTTTGCACCAGTACTGCATTTTCTTAACTACTATAACTTTATAATAAGTCTAGATAATTTTAATTTACAGGGGTTACTTTATATTAACTCCTCTAACTTTGTTCCTTTTCTTACCGACTGTATTGGTCATTCTTGGTGTTTTGTATTTTGTCTAAGTTTTGGAATCTGCTGGTTAATTTTCACACTGCCTAAAAAATAAGCATAAAAGTATTTTGATTAAGATTAGATTTAATCTACACAGAAATTTGAGAATGACTGACAATTTTAGGTCTCTCAATACATTGACATAATTTTTATTGTGGTTTAGTCACAAAGTTGCATACAACTCTTTTGTGACTCATGGACTGCAGTCTGCCAGGCTCCTTTGTCCACGGGATTTCCCAGGCAAGAATACTGGTGTGGGTTACCATGCCCTCCTCCAGGGCTTCTTCCTGACCCAGATATTGAGCCCACTTCTGAACTGGCAGGCAGATACTTTACTATTGAGCCACCTGGGAAGCCATTGATATACTATATCCCTCCATTCAGCTAGTTCTTAAATTTCTCTCAAAAGTTTTGTCCACCTTCTTCTACATTTTTCCTAAGCATTTAATTTATTTATTTTTAATGTTATTAGTATTTCTTTTATGGAAGGTGTCCTAGGAATGAATTATCTCTGACTTGTTTTCACCTTTTAACTTTTTTTTTAAATTTTGATGTAATTTGAGACTTACTGAAAAGTTACAAGAATAATATAAGCATTTCCAGATGACCTTGAACTGGAGTCCCTCAATGCTAGTTTTTGGTTCATTCTGTCTCATTTCTCTCTGAACATATAAAATCTTACTGGATTATGTTGCCATCATGATGTTCCTTTACTGCTAAAATACTGTGAGGAATTTCCCTAAGTGACCACAGGTTCAGTCAAGTTCTCAGCTGACTGCAGCCCCAGATGATATCTAAGTGCAAGTACTGAAAGACCCCAAGAGAGAACTGTTGAGTCTTCCAAAATTGCTGACTCAGGAAGTCTTAAGCAAAATGAAATATATATATTTTTTCCTTCAGTGGCTAAATTTTGGGGGAAAGTTTGTTGTACAGCACTATAACCAGGACACTTACCATGTGACCTGCAGTTAGATTGGTGCAAAAGTAATTGCGGTTTTTGCATTGTTGAAATTTGCCATTTGATATTGGAATGTATTCTTAAATAAATGTGGTTATGTTTCACATCATTTAATGTGTATTTCTTGATTTTTATTTTGCTGGTGGTTTATTACTTGCTGTTTATTCTATATGTATTTTAGACTATAGACATGATGTTAGACACAAAGCAATTTCAAGTGATTTTCTTATTCACTCAAAATGGGTCGTAAAGCAGCAGAGAAAACTTGCAACATCAACAATGCATTTGGTCCAGGAACTGCTAATGAACATAGAGTGCATTGGTTGTTCAAGAAGTTTTGCAGGGCTTCCCTGGTGGCTCTGTGGTAAAGAATCTGCCTGCCAGTGCGGGAGACATGGGTTCAATCCCTAGTCCGGGAAGATCCCACATGCTAAGGAGATGCCTGTGCATCACAACTTTTGAGCCTGTGCTCTAGAGCCTGGGAACCACAACTACTGAAGCCCAGAAGCCCTAGAGCTTGTTCTCCGTAACAAGAGAACCACCACAATGAGAAGCCTGCTCACTGTAACAAAGACTAGTCCCCACTCGCCACAACTAGAGAAAAGCCTGAGCAGCAGCAAAGACTCTGCAAAGTCAAAAATAAATAAATAATAAATAAATTTTTTAAAAAAAGTTTTGCAGAGGAGATGAGAACCTTGAAGATGAGGAGTGCAATGGCCTGACATTGGAAGTTGACAACAACCAATTAGAGCAATCATCAAAGCTGATCCTCTTATAATTACATGAGAAGTTGCCAAAGAACTGAATGTCAACCTTTCTACAGTCCTTTGGCATTTGAAGCAAATGCTGAAAGGTGAAAAACTTGATAAGTGGGTGCCTCATGAACTGACCACAAATAAAAAAAACTTGTCATTTCGAAGCATTGTCTTCTCTTACTGTACACAACAACAATGAACCATTTCTCGATTGAATTGTGACCTGTGACAAAAAGTGGATTTTATATGACAACTGGTGGTGACCAGCTCAGTGATGGGACTGAGGAGAAGCTGCAAAGCACTTCCCAAGGCCAAACTTGCACCAAGTTTGGTCACTGTTTGGTGGTCTGCTCCCAGTCTGATCCACTACAGCTTTCTAAATCCCAGAGAAACCATTACATCTGGGAAGTATGTTCAGCAAATAACTGAGAGGCACTGAAAACTGCAACACCTGCAGTCAGCATTGGTCAACAGAAAGGTGCCAATTCTTCTCCATGGCAACGCCCGGCCACACATCACACAACCAATGCTTCAAAGGTTTAAGGAGTTGGTCTACGAAGTTTTGCCTCATCTGCCATATTCACCTGACCACTCATCAACTGAATACCACTTCTTCAAGCATCTCAGCAACTTTTTGCAGACAAAATGCTTCCACAACCAACAGGAGGCAGAAAATGCTTTCCAAGAGTTCATCAAATCCCAAAGCACAGCTTTACACTACAGGAAAAAACAAACTAATTTCTCATTGGCAAAAATGTGTTGATTGTAATGGTTCCTATTTTGATTAATAAAGATATGTCTGAGCCTAGTTATAATTATTTAAAATTCGTGGTCTGAAACTGCAGTTATGTTTGCACCAACCTAATAGAAGAATATTTGTCCTCTGATCTTCTGTTTTAATAACTGCCTTATGCTGATCTAACGTGCTGATACATTCATTCTTTAGTTCTTAAATTCAACTATTAAGTGTTCTAGCTCTAGAACTTTTATTTCTTTTCTTTTAAAATTTCTCTGCCAAGAAACACATCTTGGCAATTAATCTTAAGAGCACTTTAATCAGGGCTATTTAAATTCTCTGTCAGGTAACTCAAATAGTTGAATATTTGGGGATATTTTGGGGAATGTCTTCTTTTTCCTTTTGGTTTTCCATTTGATCTCTTTTACGTGAGGTTTTTCTTCTTCTTCTTCTTCTTCTTCTTTTGGTAACAGATATGGAAGATGAAGGCTTCTAGAAATCTTTCAGAAAAGATTTTGTTTTGTTTCTTATATTTAGATATAGATTTAGGTATAGAACACACTATTTAACTTGTTCTCAGTGCAAAGCTTGGCTTAAACAAAAACTGTGGCACTGTCAGAAGCAGACCCCTCCATGGAGAAACTGAACTTTAAATTTATAAACTTCACTGCTATTACAGCTTTCATCTCAAACTCCATCACTAGGTTATTATTTAGTTTAATTTAGTTTCCTCTTCTTCAACCCAACCAGACCTCTGATCATTGCTCTTTCTGCAGGAAACCAGACCCAGGTGCTGCCCCAGTGCAACGACTCCGTGTCTGAACCAGCAGGCTCTGCGGCCTCAGAGGAGAGCGCCCTCTATTGCTCAGGTGAGTGTCCCACAGGACAGAAGACCCTTTACAACCCCGTCACTGCCCCATTGTCCCATTTCTCTCTCCTCAGACAGCAGACAGCTCCGCCTGGTGGATGGAGGAGGTCTCTGCGCCGGGAGAGTGGAAATCCTTGACCAGGGCTCCTGGGGCACCATCTGTGATGACGGCTGGGACCTGGACGATGCCCGCGTGGTGTGCAGGCAGCTGGGCTGTGGAGAAGCCCTCAATGCCACGGGGTCTGCTCACTTTGGGGAAGGGCCAGGGCCCATCTGGCTGGACGACCTGAACTGCACAGGAAAAGAGTCCCACGTGTGGAGGTGCTCTTCCCAGGGCTGGGGGCGGCATGACTGCAGACACAAGGAGGACGCGGGGGTCATCTGCTCAGGTGCGCTCTGCACACTGCCCACAGGCTGGGGGAGGGGTGGGGCCCTGGAGGACAGGAGTCAGAGCCCTGATGGAGAGATGCTGAAAGGATCAGAGAAGGTGGCTTCCTCCCAGGAAGCCTGTCTTTCCAGCAGACATGAAGACTGGGTGCTTTCACTTTCTCCTGCAGCAGCTGAGATTCTGGTCCTTTCTTCTCAGCATTGTTTCCTGACAGCGTTGTTTCTTACAGTTAACACTTGCTAGCAGGGCTCACTTTTCAGTTATCTGTGGGAGTAACACCTGGAAATCCTAGGCTTCCCAGGTTTTGCTAGTGTTAAAGGACCTACCTGCCATTGCAGGACATGTGAAAGATGCGGGTTCAACCCCTGGGTTATGAAGATCCCTTGGAGGAGGGCATGACAACGCATTCCAGTATTCTTGCCTGAGAATCCCATGGACAGAGGAGCCTGACATAGTGAAAACTCAAATTTTTCCTTTACAGTTCTGTTTGCTAGGAGTCTAACGAGAGTCTCTGGGGGCCAACATCCCAGAGTCCACAGGGCTGTGTTCTCCCTGGAGTCTCTGGGCAGGACGCTTCTCCCAGCTTTTTCTGGTTTCCCAGGTGGTCTCATTTCTTGGCTCAGAGCCATCTTTATTCTTCTTCAGACAACAGTGCCTCTTCTGACTGTTCTCTCTCACTCACATTTCCCTTTGACTGGAGCTGGGAAAGTGGATGCGTTTCTCAGCATAGGGGATTTAAAGATGTGTTAGGCTGGGGTCACAAGGTTAATCCACAATATTTGAGCATTATGTCTCCATCCCAAGGTCCTTATTAATCATGTCTGTAAAGTCTCTTTTGAAATGTAAGGTAACATGTCACAAGTTCAGGGATTAGGCTGTGGCCATCTCTGGGGGTCCATTATTCTGTCGACCACATCACTGTCCACATCACTTTCCATTCTTTTAGAAGTTTTGCCAGGAAGCAGGATTCAGCTCCCATCACTGCACCTGCACTAGTTGGCCTTGCTCTCTGTTCATATCTACAATGTTGTGGTAGAAATAGGTGTACAGAGGTTAATGGACAAAGTCAGGTGAAAGGGAGGCAAAAGTCAGTCTTGTCACCCAGTGGGCATCTCCTCTGCTGGGTCAGGGATGTGTGGTCACAACTTCTGGGGAAGAGGAAAATGCAGAGCACTGAGTGCAATGCTCACTGTGTTCCATCCCCTCCATTTCAATCTTAGAGTTCCTGGCCCTCAGGATGGTGAGCGAGGACCAGCAGTGTGCTGGCTGGCTGGAAGTTTTCTACAACGGGACCTGGGGCAGTGTCTGCCGCAGTCCCATGGATGATGTCACCATGTCCGTCATCTGCAGACAGCTTGGCTGTGGGGAGAGCGGAAGTCTCAACTCTTCTGTGGCTCTTAGAGAAGGTTCTAGACCCCGCTGGGTAGATGGAATCAAGTGCCGGAGTACTGATACCTCTCTCTGGCAGTGTCCTTCTGACCCTTGGAATTACAACTCCTGCTCTCCAAAGGAGGAAGCCTATGTCTCATGTGCAGGTGACTTACTATCTGCTTCTGTGTCACTCCCAACCGTGTAGGATGCCGTTAGTATGATTTCCTATTTTCAGATCTAATTGATGGGTTTGGGTTGAGTCTACAAAATGTAGGTGTATATTTGTATTTGTCTCTGTGTCTCTTTGATTGCTTTTGTTATGATAAACAACTAATTAGATAAAGTAATTTCAGCTGCTGAAAAGGTGCAGTGAACCTCTAGCCAAGTAGATGATGTAGCTTCTGTGGTCTCTTGTCATTTGACTGTGACAAAACACCTTAGATACTCATGTTTGTGGACAAGACCACGCCCAGCTGTCCCTGATCCACTGTTTCCCTGTTGTTTGCAGGAAGAAGACCCAAGAGCTGTCCAGCTGCTGCCCCCTGCACAGGTACGTCAGCGCCGCCCCCTCCCCAGGGCCGCAGGGGCTCCTTCCTCCCACCAGGGGAGTCACAGGAGGGGCTGCTGCCTTTTCAGACGGAGAGAAGCTCCGGCTCAGGGGAGGAGACCGCGAGTGCTCAGGGCGGGTGGAGGTCTGGCACAGCGGCTCCTGGGGCACCGTGTGCGATGACTCCTGGAGCCTGGCAGAGGCCGAGGTGGTGTGTCAGCAGCTGGACTGTGGCCCGGCCCTGGAAGCCGTGCGGGCCGCGGCGTTTGGCCCTGGAAACGGGAGCATCTGGCTGGACGAGGTGCGGTGCGGGGGCCGGGAGTCCTCCCTGTGGGACTGTGCCGCGGGGCCCTGGGGGCAGAGCGACTGCAAGCACGAGGAGGACGCCGGGGTGAGGTGCTCTGGTGAGTGAGGGGCGCGGGTCTGCCCTGGTGAGTGAGGGGCGCGGGTCCGCCCTGGGTGAGTGAGGGGCGCGGGGTGAGGTGCTCTGGTGAGTGAGGGGCGCAGGGTGAGGTGCTCTGGTGAGTGAGGGGCGTGGGTCCACCCTGGTGAG